GGAGGAGACTGCGGTGAGATTTGCCTGCATTCTCTCCCAGAGTTCCCCCAGATCTTCCTCCGGCTCTGCAGATCTCATTTGAAATGTTATTACATTATCCATTACCTAGGAGATTTCCAGCAGCTCACTAGCTCCACGCAGGCAAGAGACAGGCAAAGCCGCTCCAGCCGGGACGGGCACCAGGGCTCCATCTGATCGATGCCCCCCAGATAAAGCCCCCAGACCCGCTGCATGTGACAGGGACCTGCCAGGGCTGCAGCACAGGCCCTGGACACGCAGCCCAGCGTGACACTGGGACCGAGCTGCACTGCTGTCGCTGGGAGCAGCACCACGGTCACACAGTAGGAGGGAAGGGACATGAGCTCCCCTGGGATCTCCCTGGCACACGGCTGTGGACAGCCTCTGGATGGGAAACCTCTCTGGAGAGGCTGCAGCACGGAGCGGCTTCCTCAGCCCAGAGATGAGGTGTTGGGATAAGGCTCTGCTCCCTGCCACCACTGACTGCCTGGTCCCTGGTCAGGGGTGCTGACCCTGGGCTCTCAGCACAGCACAGGGCCTGCCCAGAGTGAGCCAAGGGGGAAAAAGCAAAGTGACCCCCAAGTCACCTCCTGGGGGGCCTGCTTTGGGGGTGGAGGGCCAGGGAGGCTGGAGATATGGAAGGCACAGACGCAGGGGATCCACAGGGACAGGAGCAATTGAATGTGAGAGGGATTTTGTTCCAAGGGACAACTTCGAGGTGGCTCTGGGACCAGCAGGGTGTGAGGAGGGGGAGCAGAGAAACCCACATGGAAGAAGAGATCAGCAGCCTTAACCCAGCACAGGAGGCAAGTGTAGCACCGGCTTCTACCCAGCCAGCACAAAGCCCCTCTTGGCACACCAGCCCTCCAGAGGCAGTGACGGGAGCACAACATGCACCACCAGAGAGCCCTGACCCACCTCGTGTGGAGAGAAATGTCCAAGAGGACTCGTGCACACGCAGTGGTGCTCAGTGAATGCAGGCTTTGATGCCCGTGGCACCTTCTTGGATTCCTTGGCGGGTTTCACCCCACCTCTGCTCAGCATTCCCACTCCATGGGAGGGTGGCCAGGCTCTCTGAGGGGCTGCCCTTCCTCCCTGTGACTCCCCCCACCTGAACTGCCCCATCCTGCCCTGCACAGCCCCAAACCCAGGGTTTGCCAGGCACGGGCAACCAGCACCAGACTCCGGGCAGTGGCTGCCGGGGAGCCAAGGGCGATCC